GATCATACTCGAAATCACTAGGGCTCTTATGATTGAGTCAAATGTTCCGATTTATTACTGGCCCGAAGCAATTGCAACCACCATTTACCTCATAAATCGCCTTCCAACAAAAATCCTAAATCATAAAACACCCATTGATACACTCGCAAAATTTTCCACTGTTCCTACCTTCTTGACCCTCACTCCTCGTGTGTTTGGTTGCACTGTATATGTACATATTCCAAAAGCCAAACGAACAAAATTTGATCCTTGTGCTGTCCGATGTGTCTTTGTTGGGTATGGGGTTCACAAAAAGGGATACAGGTGTTATGATCCTATTTCTCGTCGGATGTACACGACAATGGATTGTAATTTTTTGGAAACTGAGTACTATTTCCAAAACCACTCTAGTAGTCAGGGAGAGAAAATTACGAATGACTCTCTAGAGTGGTTACACAGCCCAGTCTTGCCACCTGAAACTGTCCCAACCGAGGAAGTAAGTCACTCCGTGAGATCATCTTTTGAGAACATGGAACAGTCCAACAACTCTGAACTCATGTCTGATTCTACTCCGTCTGAAAAGACTCCTGAGGTTAGTATTTCCCCCATTCGTGATGATTGCATTGATAAATCTAATGATACCGTGGAAGAATTGAATATATCAAACAGATATGTCCTCCCACCACGGAAGAATCGGGGAATTCCTCCTGTCAGATATGAACCAGAATACATAACTCGGAACTCAAGATATCCTGTTGCTGATCTAGTCAGGGGGAGTGTATCACACGCACTTCACACATCCAGTCGTGAAGTTCCTAGAACAGTAGACGAAGCCATACGAATACCAGAATGGAGAAAAGCAATGGAGGAGGAGATGAAGGCACTATAGAAAAACAACACATGGGAGAAATGTCAACTCTGCCCGGGAAAGAAACCAGTCGGATGCCGATGGGTATTTACAGTCAAACACAAAGCAGATGGAACAATCGAGAGATATAAGGCCAGATTGGTAGCTAAAGGATATACTCAAACTTATGGTATTGACTGCTCTGAGACTTTCTCACCAGTAGCTAAAATTTATACTATCCGAGTATTATTCTCCGTAGCAGCTAATCTAGATTGGCCCTTATATCAGTTTGATGTGAAAAATGCTTTTCTCCATGGAGAGCTAAAAGATGAGGTTTACATGGAAGCACCACCTGGGTTCTCGTCGAATTTCAGAGAAGGCGAAGGTTGTAGGTTGCGAAAAGCTTTATATGGTCTGAAACAATCTCCACGCGCATGGTTTGGTAGATTTACGATAGCCATGAAGAAATATGGATATCGTCAAAGTAACTCTGATCATACCTTGTTTCTTAAAAGACGAGGCAAGCTCATAACATGTTTGATCATCTATGTGGATGACATGATAATTACTGGCAGTGACATAGAAGAGATGGCTATATTGAAAGGCAAGTTATTCCAGGAATTCGACATGATCTTGAAGAACTTAATTTTTTCCTTGGCATTGAAGTTCTCAAATCTCAAGAGGAGATCTTTTTTTGTCAAAAGAAGTATATCCTTGATCTTTTAGTTGAAACTAGATTAATGGATTGCAAACCGGCTGTCACTCCTATGATGGTTAACCACGGACTTCAAATTAATGAGGGAGGAATACAAGCTGATCAAGATAAGTACCGAAGACTTGTAGGCAGACTTATATACCTCGCACTCACAAGACCTGATATTCCATATGCTGTCGGAGTGGTAAGTCAGTTCATGCACAAACCACAGAAGGAACATTGGGATGCAGCTATCCGAATTGTGAGATATCTTAAGGGGACCATTAATATGGGAGTTACATTTAAAAAACATGGTCACTTAGATATTCAAGCCTACACAGATGCTGACTGGGCAGGGAATCCAAACGATCGAAGATCCACTTCAGGGTATTTCACCTTTGTTGGAGGTAATNATAATACCGCTGCTATTCGTATATCAGAGAATCCGGTACAACATGATCGTACCAAGCACATCGAGATTGATCGTCACTTCATCAAAGAGAAACTCGAGGCAGATATCATCAGTCTTCCATATGTCCGATCTGAAGATCAATTGGCAGACATTCTCACAAAAGCAGTTCCGGGTGAAGTCTTTCAAGCAACATTAAGCAAGTTAAATATCCGGAACGGATGATTCAACTTGAGGGGGAGTGTTAGAAATGTCAAACAAAGGAATAGTGTCAAACAAAGGAATTGATTGTAATATCTTGATAATATCCTTGATTGGAATCAAATTACCAATCAAGATATTTGATTAGGTTCCAATCACCTTCCTTAATTGTCCTCTTTATGTAATTTGTAATATTTATAGACACCAAGTGTGATGTATTCAAATTAAGATGAATATTATGCTGTGAATTCATTCTAATATTTCTAATAGTAGCCTCAAATAAGTGGCCTTTTTCAAACTAGAAAATACCCACATCAAACCCCATGAAAATATGGAAAGGCCTACATTTTTAAATGTAGTCTTTGGAGTTTGGACCATGTAAACATCACTCATATATGTAGATCTCGAGGAAGGTAAGTATCCTTTGGACCCCGCGGGAAGAAAGAACAAGGAGCTGATGTGGCCTTCGGGACACCGCCCGGCCCCTATGCGGGAAGGGGAAAGGTGAGACCTCCGTTTTTCACATCAGTTAATTATAGATTATTTTTTTTTGGATTTTTCAATTCTTCCCTTTCTTCTTTATCGCTCTTGTTGCTTCTTTCCTTTTTTCTCTCTATTTTGTTACTTCTTTTCCTTTCTTAGATTTTAACTTTTTTAGTTTTTTATTTTGATTTTTTTTTTCAGTTTTCTTTTCTTTTTTTATTTTTATTTTGATTTTTTTTCAAATTTTTATTACTTAATTGTATTATACACGGAGTATTTTTTATTTTAAGTATTATAATTAAAATAATTGTTAAAAGATTATTAAAAATTGAAAGGGTGAGGGAAAGGGAAGAGGATGCACGCCCCTAAAAGATGATGAGAATGGGAAGAGAAAGCTGAAACTACGTGGCGCTTAAATTGGCAGAAGAGAAGAGAAGAAACACGTGCACTCCTCAGTCTAAGGGCATTAGCAATGCCAAGTCAAAAATGAAATGCAATATAATGAGATAAAAATTTTAATTGATCAAAAATAGTCTAGTCAGCGTGTGGCAAATAAGTAGAAAGACATACCATGTATTCACAAATTATTATTTTTATCTTTTTTGACATTTTTACACGTATTTTAATTATTAAAAATTATTTTATTTATCTTTTTTATAAAACACATGCACTCATTTTCAAAAAAATTCTGATCTGTCTTGTACAAAAAAAAAAAAGAAAAAAGCTGCCTCGCGAATGGCTCGAAGATCACAAGGTCCCTCACATATGCTGAAGGAGGATGGAGGCTTCCGCAGCAAGTGCCCCGCCCCTGCCAGTGGTCTAAGAGCATATATGGACAATGGCAAGTAAAAAATAGAATGCCACACGGTGACATTGGGTATTTTCACCAATAAAAACCAGTCCAGTGTGTGGCAAGTGAGTGGAGTGACATTTTTTCCAATGGTAAGTAATTGTTTTTGTCAATTTTTACACTTTTTAAACATATTTTATCTATAAAAATTATTTTACTTGTTTTTTTCATAAAAGTAGATGTACTTATTTTATAAAAAATCTTTTTTTACAAAAAAAATTAAAAAAATTTAAAAACAAAGAGATCGGAACATATTGCCCGTGTTGACTGTTGATGCTATAATAAGAGGATGAGGAAAAATACGGAGTATTAAATACGGAGTACAATGGAAGGATATGTGTTATAGTGGCAGGTTATTATTTTTGTATATTTTAATTTTTAAAAATTATATTAAGTTTCAGGGAAAAAAGAAAGAATATAAAGAAATGTAAAAAGAAAAAAATCATCAGAAAAAAGAAAAAAGAAAAAAAGTACAAACTTGATTTGATTGGTGAGTGGTGACTCGCCTGTCTTGCTCTACATGGAGAAATGCTATGCCACTCCACGCCATGACGTCAAGGAAGATAAATAATGTGTTGGCAAATGATGGGGCAGGCGAGGCAATAAAATGAAAAAATTCCGAGACAGGGAAGAAATTTTGGACTGAATTCGGCAGAGGGAAAAACGCAGTCAGCGACTTCCTTTGAATTTTTTTTTTTTCTCAAAGGTAGTCAGCGACTTCCTTTGAAACAGACCGCAACTTTTGGCAGGTTGGCACTCAACTTTTTCTCAAAGGAAGTCGGCGACTTCCTTTGAATTTGCTTTTTGTTGACTAGTTCACTTCCTAATCTTTTACTCTTTGTATTTTTTATTTTAATTTAATTTTTACCTTTCAAAATAAAAACTTAATTTATATTAATTTCTTTTAGCATTGATTTAATTCAAAAATAATTAAAATAAAAATTCATATGATGATATAATTAATTTGACATAAAAAAAATTAAAACAACAAAATTACATTCATAATATAAATAAGATTTGTTCAACAAACGTCAACAGAAATTAAAAAGATAATCTAAAAGAACAAATGATTTTTAATGACTTGCAACTCTCTCCATCTCTCCCAAGAATTGTGAGAATTCAGTTGTGATGCCTTGCAACTCTGTCCATCTCTCCCAAGAATCGATTTCGCTGTCGACGACCAGACCGAAAAATTTCTTCAGCGGGCCTAACTGGAGGTAGAATACGTAAATTCCCGTAAACTGATTGTTTTGGGAAAAGCACGGGGTTGATGTGTACATTGTAACATCTCATATATTGTTCAACTGAATACATTGAAGAGATTTCATCGTCTGCCAACCGTCGAAAAGAATGATACAGTCCGTGAACATGCACGCATGGAATACCATCGCTACTCCACTGTCCGCAAGTACATGTTTTTCTTCCCAAATCCACTAAAAAGCTATAGATGTTACCTGGATTAGACCTCGATGTTCTGCTTACCACATATTCTTGCCCCCCGTAATGCACAGCTTGAAAAAGTTGTTTATCTTTCTCGCGCTTCTGAAAAATCTTTGTGATTTTAGGAGTAAATAAACAATTTTTCCTCTGCCACGCAAAACATGCTTTACGTCGTGTCTCGAACTGATCAATGAGTTTATTATACGACATTGTGACAATAGCAGTTACAGGTAGCATCCGACAACCCTTCAACATGTTATTAAAGCTCTCTGAACTGTTGGTAGTAAGTATCCCACATCGATGACCGCCATCATGACTAAGTGTCCAAAACTCAGGTCGAATTTTTGCAAGCCAAGCATATGCGGTCTCATTTATACTTTTGATTTCTTCCATGTGTTTTTGAAAATCCTGGATGCTAGGAGTGCTCCCTGCTGCCCACATGAGATTTTTTAATGTGCCGTTGTGGAACGCCGTGTTAAAGTTACTTCGTAAATGTCGGAGACAAAACCTTTTTTTAATCCGTCCAGTGCGGAGTTCTGGGACGTCTCGATACGCATTAATGATTCCCGCATGCCTATCAGAAATCATTGCAATCTTTTTATTTCCTATGACCCTCTGTGCAACAAGACGTAAGAACCATGACCAACTATCAGTCGTTTCACCATCAATAACAGCGTACGCCAAGGGAAATAACTCACGGTTCCCATTCATTGTCACTGCTAGCAGTAAATGTCCTTTGTACTTTCCGTACAAATGCGTCCCATCTACAGTGACCACAGGCAAACAAAATTGTAGGCCGTTGATTGCCGCTGGAAAAGCCCAAAACGCATACTTAAATGGAAATCCATCTGTGGGTTCAACATTGAGGTTTGGTTGAGGCTCAGTATACACTAACTCTGCCACAGTACCAGGATATGAAGTCTGCAAAGTGTACAAGAGAGTTGGAAGTTGATTGTAAGAGTCTTTCCAGCTCCCGTACAACATCTCTGATGCATCAAGCCTTGCGTGCCAACATTTTTTGTATGTGACAGCAATGTTGAAGAGCTCCATAATTTCGTGTTGAATAAGCTTCACCTTATATTCGGGGTCGACCCAGACTTTTCCAACAATCATCCTAGCAATGAAACCTTGTGTGATATTATAATTACATGACATTACGGATTTGGATACATATCATTCCAGTCAGAGCCTAGAAAATCTAAACCGGATGGCCCGTCAGTACGTTGAGAGTTTAAGTTTGGTAATGGTGGAGTCGAGGTCGATGCGCCAGTGTCAAAAATATATCCTGATCCGGTGTATGGAACAAACCCGAACTGTGTCTGCATTGGCATCGTACTAAAAGAAGTGAACTGGTTGGGCGGTGTTTGGAACCGGTGTGATGTCTCGGGAATGTCATGTCTTCGATTTGCATTGCGTGGACGAGGATGTTGTTGCTCGTCAGTTTCTACCTCTAAATCATATCTTGCAATATACTCTGGATCAACTCGTTCAAGGGTCGTCCGTGCTATTTCATGAGCTTGAGAGGGGTGACCGCGCAATACCTCACGCATTCCATCGATCTAGGTTTATACGTAGGAAAAAAATGGTTAGTACTTAAAATGGTGATGAGTAAAATCTAAAATATATTTTAACACTTATACCAGAATATTTATAGATGCAGCAACACTATCAACGCCTATTGCCGGACGGTGGGCCGGGTTTCGTATGTAACATCGTGCATACAATTGGTACCAGTCTCGAGATCCATGTGTCAAGCCTTCACCTGTATCTGACACTGATGGTAGTTGCTCCATCTCCACTTGATGTAAGAATCGATCACGACTCCACGTATTCCAATACGGTACAAAGAAATTAATTTGTACATTTCGTCTCACAATATTATGTAAGTGCTCATTGTACTCAATTGGCAAAGTTGGAATATCTTGTAGACAGTTAAACTGTCGAGCAAACCTCCTAGGCATATGTGGCTCAATAAAAATATCAAAAACAATATAACCCTCATAAAGCCAGAGATCTCGACCAGCCTGACAAAAGTTTGGAAGGATGGCCAAATTGTACGGAGTCCATATGACCTATAAGAAATACAAAATTAATTTATAATTTTAAAAATGTTAATTAAAAAATCTAAATTTAAAAATGTATAATTTAAAAATATACATGACGGAATGAAGCACTGTCAAATTGTTCTCGATAGAAGCGTACTGAGTGACGTGGACTTGCCCGGAATAATTTCCTAATTCGCCACCTGAAATTTAAAAATATATTAAATTTGAATTTTAGTAACATGCATAGTAAAATTTATAAAATTAAATACAACATTTTACATACCGTGCGCCATATGGCTCGTCTCTCTCATTACGGAGTGGTCCATGAACATCGCGTCGAAGATTGCGCGTTTCAGGGCATATTGTTATTATCCGTGTCCAAGCCCAAAGTTGCAGAAGCAAAGCACATCCTCCCATTTTTGGAGTATCAGTTCTCCGTAACACTATTTTGCACATATTATGATACAAGTGTGCCAAGACAGCAGAGCCCCAACTGAATCGATGAATGTCATCCAAATTTGCCAAGTATGGCAAGAACTCAACACTCACATATGTGTTTGACGTAGTAGGAAATAACAAACCTCCAATCAACTGTAAAATAATCCCTGTAGTATACTGAACTGCTTCCTCATCAGTGCTATCCTCAGACAATGGGTCTCGACCTTCTAGTCTACGCAAGTTAAACCCCAATGACCCAAAATCAGTGTCATCCACCGGAAAGTCAAGAACCCTCAAAAATAACTGTGAATAGGTTTCCCGCGGAACATTTTGCGTAAAAACAATGGGTTCACCATCCACAGGTAATCCAAGAAGACACTCAACATCTTGTAAGGTAATCCCTAATTCGCCAAAAGGGAACTGAAAGGCATGAACCTCCGGTCTCCACCTTTCCAATAGGGCCGTGATTAAACTGTGATCCAATTTAATGGGTTGAACACGATGCACCCCATAAAAACAAGCAGTTCTAAGATTTGTCTCTATCCGATCATCTTCGTAAGAGCTTTCAACGCCGGCGTCATACCGACAACAAAAAAGTTTTGCATCAAGAAAATCTTCCTCTTCCCAAACACGTCTTGAACGATGTTTCAGTTGAAGCGTTAACACAGCATCGTTTCGAGGACCAGCAATATCACGTTCAATTTGGTCCATTGCTTCATTAAAATTAAATGCAAATACAAGAAAATATAAGAGAAATAAAAGAAAATATACTCCATAAAAGAAACATATATCTACCATACATACAAAACTTCCAAAGAAAATATACTCCATAAAAGAAACATATATCCACCATCTATACAAAACTTCCATCTTGGAACATAATAATGTGTGAAACATAAAAGAAACAAAAAAAATTTACTCTAATATACTCTAAATATATTTCTACTATATATACAAAACTTCTCTAAAGTTATTATTTACACATGCATAATATAAAAGCAACATATATCCATCATAAGAATTTATTTGATTCATTTTTTCATACACTAAATACCACATTTCTAACAATTAAATAAATTTATACGGAGTATGATAATAAAATCAAAGTCTAATCATTTTAGCCAAAAAAAATTATAATGATTTTAAAGAATAAAAATTAAAAAATAAATAACATACCTTTCAATTGAGAGTACAATGAAGATGTGTTGTGTTGTGAATTATGATAAAATTTAAATGATTTGAATAAGGAAGAAATTTAAAAGGTATAAATTAAAGATAATGTGTTGGAAAGGAGAGGAGAGTGTTTGAATTTGAAAAAAGGTTAGAATGTGTGAAAAGGGGAAAGGGGTAGGGTAATGGTTGATTTTGAAAAGAGGTTGAATGGTTTAAATAAAAAAGGGAAGTAGGGATGGAATAATGGGAGAAGGGAGGGGAAAGTGGGGTACACGTGATTTTTTTTTTTCTCAAAGGAAGTCGCCGCTTCCTTTGTCACTGATTGGAAATGTTTTAGTTTTTTTGGAATTTAGTCACCAAATTCTTCCCTTTCTGGGAAGTTGCCCCAATAAAATGAGGCAATAAAATAACTTGCCGCTGCCACTCCTCTAAGCCCAACATTAGGGGTGTACATTATTCGGTCCGGACCCGGACCGACCCGAAACCTGGCCAAAACCGGACCGGACCGGTCCGGACCGGTCCTTATTCGGTCCGGTCTCCGTTCCTCATTATTTCCTTATTCGGGTTCCGGTCTGGTCTGGTCCGGTCCGGTCCGGTCCACTGGGTTTCGGTCTGGACCGGTGGACCGGTTATAATACGGAGTATATTTTTTCTATGTAGTCTTATAATTTTGTATTTTTTAAGATTTTTTCTTATACTTAAAATTAATTTAACTTTAATACTAAAAGTTTTTCAAATGTTTTGATTTTATTATTTAATATAATTTTTTAATTATGTTTTCAATTCAAAATAATGTACCAATTCTAATGACATTTAAATATTTTCAATTCAAATTAAAAATAAACATTATAAACAATCTCATGAATGAAAATAGTAAAAAAAGTATCCATTTGCCAAAATTAATCGAAAACTCAAAAATTATATTACAAAAAAGCAAAAATGCAGTAAGAAGAAGAATATTTCCTATTAAAATAAAAATTACGAACAAATTTTATGTAATACAGATGGAAAATATATACTTCGTATTTTATTTAAAGTTTTTGAAAAAAATTAAAAACAAAAGTGTTTGGCAATGTTTAGTGTATGTTACAATTAAAAATTAGTTGTAGTAATATTTTTATTCAATTGAATACTTTAAATTAAATAAATAAAATCAAATTTAAAAAAAAATTAAAAATAGCATTTATCCGGTCCGGTTCCGGTCCGGTCCGGGTTTTACCGGGCCGGTCCTTAGCTTAATCGGTCCGGTCCTCGGTCCACCAAATGCTCCTTATTCGGTCCCGGTCCGGTCCGGTCCGGGTTTTATCCGATGAACACCCTTATCCAACATGGTCGCCACACACTTTTCTAGGATGAGTGTTAGATGGTTGGAAAGAGAAAGCAAATGATCGAACACATTTTGAAACTAAAGTAGTTTTTTTTTAAATTAAAGAAGAGTTAGAGCGTGTTCTCTTCAATTTATTATTACATGTTCCCTCCGTCCTTCAGTTTTTGTCCACTTTCATTTTTACACACTATCCAATGCACTTCTTTAATTCATTTTATCTTGTCATTTGTATATTAAAAAATTATAGAAATTATATATTAATAATCTATATAGAAATCATCCTAAATAGGACTAAAACATAGAGAAAAGTACCAAAATAGGACTTTCATGTTTTTTCCCCGGAATAGGACTTTGCACTGTGGTAATGTGACTTTGCATTGTGGTAATGTGACAGTGTACATGTGCAAATTACTATATTTTTTTGGTAATGTATATGACCATGTTTGGTAATGTAAGTCATATTTCGGGAATAAAAACATGGAAGTCCTATTTTGGTATATTGTCAATGTTTTAGTCCTATTTTGGTCTTTCTCCCTAATCTATATGTTAAGACAAATCAAACAAGATCACACATGACTATATTTAGGCTTACACATTGAGAGAATTTGATGAGTCAAAGTGCTTAGATGAATAGTTCCAAAAGTCAAAAGTGGACAAAAACTGGGGGACGGAGGGAGTATTACTTTATTACTCCGTATTATTAGTATGAATTGAAAATAAATTTAATCAAACTTTGTAAACAAAAACATAAAAATATTTTAAGACTAGGGGAGTATAAAAGTTGGGATTTGTTTAGCGCCACCAACTCTATTTCTTGTCCATGGGGAACAAAGGCCCAAAGCCCCAAATCAGAACTTTTTGCGAGTTCTATTCCTATTTGATTTGAAGGAACCCATCCTCTAATTGGGGTTCACACCCTGATTTGACCGCTCAATTATCTCAATTCCTTGAAGAATTTGAACCGAGCGCTCCCGTAAAGTTTCAACTTTCAAACTAAGCAACCACAACCACAGAGTACATTTTTGGGAGCAGTCATCAAGCACTTGCCCTGAAAACACAGAAATCGGCTTTACCGTTCCCATGGCCAGGTCCCTGAAAGCCCTCTCCCGTTTCTAATCTGTATTTTGTTCTCATTATTATGTCTGTTTATACCAAGATTTTCTTGTGGCTCAATTTCATTGTGTGAAGTGCAAAGAACTCCAACTTTCTTGAATCTCGGAGTGAGGGTTCTCAAGAATGTATCTTTTTTTTTCTTCACTCGTGTGTGCGGATTGCTGAACATTACGTAGTGTTGTACCAAATAGGGAAGAGAGCACAAACTGTATGTGCGAATGTTGTGGCCTAAGCATGACTTAAAAGTTCGGTTTTTTTTTTATTTTTTGCATTTCTTGGTTTTCTTAGAGCACAGTTCAATCTTTGAAAGGGGCCAAAGGCCCGTTTGGTCCTGTCCATGCTTGGGTTTTGAAGGGTTTTGGAGGGCAAGGGTTATTTAATTGATATCCTCTACATAAAGCTCAACCACACAATGTTCGGATTATTAATCTCCGTGCCCAATCAAAACATGGACAAAATGAGATGGGGGCGTAAATGAGTAGCCAGAGTAGGACATTGTGTGCTGCATTAGGAGTGTTTGACTGACTATGCCAAACTGATGGTATAGTCTTTCTGTGTCAATCTTGTAAATGAACTGCGCGTTTAGTCTCACATTTTTAGGTTTGAACCTTGCAGGCCTTCGTGGTTGGTTGACGGAAACAGGATAGCGACAAAGATCAGAAGTGCATCAGGCGATCCAGGAAACGTTTACTGGAAAAGCAACCCTTCAAGGACTTGCCCCAGCTGCCACTATACCATTGACAATAGTGATGTAAAAATTAACTACCTTTTTCATTTGTTTGTCCCTTGAAAATGTACCGTGCATTTTTTCTTTTGTTTGATATGTACTTAGCTTGCGTTACGGTTAGACGGTCAATCTTGTAACAACCTACACATATTTGAGGTTTTCTTTAGTAGCCCGGTGCCTTATATGGAGAATGCTGCTTTTATTTTTATATTTGTCCTTCACAAGAGCATTGTTATTTTAGGTAACTCAAGAATGGCCAGGATTGCCAAGAGGTGTGAAGTTTGATCCATCTGATCAAGAGATTATTTTCCACTTACTTGCAAAAGTTGGTGTTGATGATATGAAACCCCATCCTTTTATTGACGAATTCGTTCCAACGGTCCATAAAGATGATGGGATATGCTACACTCATCCCCAAAATTTACCAGGTAACCATAATGCACACTTCATGTCTTCATTCATCTTTAGTCCCACTCTGCAAATTCACCCAAATATAACCCACAATATCTTACCTGATTGCCTCACTTTTCAAAGTTGAGACTCTTACTCTAACCCATAGGGCATCTTTAAGCTTAAAACTTAGCTTTAATTGCACTAAAGGGTCAACCTTTTAGGTGTTAAGCAGGATGGCACCATTTCACATTTCTTTCACAGAGCCATAAAAGCTTATAATACCGGCACACGAAAGCGCCGAAAGATACATGGTAATGATTTGGGAGATTTTAGGTGGCATAAGACGGGTCGCACGAAACCTGTGTTTTTGGATGGCGTACAAAGAGGGTGTAAGAAGATAATGGTTCTTTATGTGGGCCCGGTCAAGGGGGGTGGAAAAGCCGAGAAAACAAATTGGGTGATGCACCAGTATCATCTTGGAACCGGGGAAGATGAGAGGGAAGGAGAATATGTAATTTCTAAAGTGTTTTATCAGCAACTACAGGTGAAACAAAGTGAAAAAACGGAACATGCATCTCCTGAGGATTCTGAAAGTTTGGGTGCTAATAACGATCCATATACCCCAAAAACCGAGACTCCTGAACCTGCTCATATAGAAAGAAGACTGTTGAGTTCAGTTGCAGAACTGGAGACCCCTAATGTTGAGGTAACTTTGACTTGTGCACACCTATTGATGAACTATGATGCTGTGCTAAAGATCAAATTATGATTTTTTTTTAAGAAAAAAAGATGAACAAAGTCACAAACATATATTTCAATTTTGAGAACCACGATAGATAGTAGTTCAAGTCTTTTACTGTTTTATTTTCTTTTTGCAATAGTTTAGGATATTTGATGAGAATTTTGTGAGACAATGGACTACTCCCCCCATTCTCAAATACCCATCCATTAAGTGAAACATGTGATTTTAAGTTGATAATTTTTTTTTTCATAATTCATGAATTGGCGAATTACCTCTTATTGATTTCAGGGTAGTTGGGTAGACAAGACCTAGGGCTTCTAGCCCTTACCTAGGAAATGACCTTAAACAGGAGTCTCTTGAGAGCTAGGATTAAAGTACTTGGGTAGGTGCTTTAGGTTAGGTGATAGTTTTTGCACTTGTGTGCCGTGTATGCTTGGTGCTTTCTGCTCTCGATGCTTTGCTTCTGTGCTTCTTTCCTTTTCTTCTTTAACGTTAGTTTTCCCTTTGCCCCCTTGTGCTCTGTGGTTTTCATGCTTCCCATGCTTTATGTGCTTTATATGCCTTATGTGTCTTCTGTAATCCTATATTATCTTATGATAGTTGTGCTGTTTGAGACAAAGGTCTCTTGGAAACAGCCTCTCTACTATTGAGTAGGGGCAAGGTTTGCTCCCCCCCCCCCNCTACTTTGGTGGGCTTCAACTGGGTTGTTGATTTCTGGGTAGTAATTGTAACAAGCTAATGGGAAACAGGTACAAGAAGGAAACCTAGTCAATTTACTACTCCCTCCCTCCCATAAAACCCTTCCTTTTTGAAAAAAGACGCACCCTTAAGATGAGTAATTTTGGTGTTATTTTCTAATTTTGTTCTTACGTTATAGTATAGTAGGATGAGATGTGTATGATAGATGAGTCATAATTAGAAAATAACACCAAAATTACTCATTTTAAAGGTGCGCCTTTTTTCAAATAAGAAGGGTTTTATACTTTTATGAGACAGAGGGAGTATGTTTTACGTTATTTTTAGAATGCTAAATGGGCAGTTCTATGTGAACAAAATGTATAAGTTTAGAGACAGTTATTTGATAGAATGGAGGGAGTAGTTAAAGAGCAATGTATTGATATGAAAGACTCCAACTTTTTTGTTCCTCTTGCATATATACACTTTCGTGACATGAAAGACGTCGTCTTTTAAGGTATGCAATCAAGAAGAAACCATAGAGAACCAAACCAAGCGAATGGAGGTGCAAAATGAGATTGAAGAGGGAGATGAACGCAAATGGTGGGGCAGTCAAGACGAAGCAGCACAGTATCTCTTAAGCTCACAACAGCTCGTGGAAGGGCTGTCCTTGTTCGATGAACTCCTGCAGAGCCAGTCTCCAAGTAGGGATGGAGGGCAAAATGGGAAAGAGCACAAGGGAATGCCGCGTCTTTCGGATTATAGACACTTGGGGACAGAGACTTTTAAGAAGGATCTGGAGACGTGCCAAGAACTGGTCCTTGATCCACCGCCTGCGATTAATACAGAGGGTGAAACAGTCAACAACAGCCAAGAGTTTGTCATTGATCAAGAAAATATAGTTCTAGAGACACCACCTGAAAGGCTTACCCAACTCGTAAGTAATGAGCCTCATTATTATCTATCCTTTTGCTGTCCATTTTTTGTTTTATGTTTTCAAAGTAGAGGTAAGGTCTACGTATCCACTATCTTTATTGGGTTTCGTGTTGTTTCTGCTTTATGTTTCTAAGGGTAAAACAACATTATGATTCACGAAAACAAAACCCAAAAATGCGGTTTTTAGTTTGCGGATTTTGAAATTAACACGATTAGTAAAATAAGTGTATACGACATGAAACTTCAAATTTGAAACTGAGACTGATACCAAATTGGCACTATGTTTCTTGGATTTCATTCTTTTCTTTAGTTAACGAGTGAAGCTCTTCCGCAAGTACTATATTGTTTCTTGTTTATGTGATGTTTTTTTCTTGAAGGAGTTTGAGTCTCAGGACAGTTACCTTGCTTGGGGAGGGAACAAGATTGATTCTTCTGAGAGAGGCAGCGGTTAATCATCGTTTCTAACCTTTGCAGCCAGGAAGCAGCAAAATGGTGTCTTGACAAAACCTTTTTTCTGCCTCAATCCAAACTAACACTTATTGGAGATGGGAGTTGATGATGTTAAAATATGTAGTGTTGTAACATATGGAGCATGAAGTTGTGTTTTGTACTTCTTTGAACTGACTCTGGTGGCCTATAAGTAATGCTCCCTCTGTCCAAAATTTTCCATGTTTTTGTCTTGTCACGCTTGTAAGGATAATGAAACTGTGTGGTTGCAATGGATAGGGATAGAGTAGTTGGTTTCAGAATGTCCATGATTTTGACCCTATTGCGCCCCTCGTCCCATTATTTTCGAAACATTGGTGAGTGATTCAAAAATTAAGAAAAGTAAGACGGTTGATAAAGATAAAATGGATGTGAACTACACAAATATGACCAAATTATGGTACGTCACAAACTAGCGGGACAGAAAAAAATGCAATAAAAAGACAAAAATAGTGAGATGGAGAGTATTTTCTTTGTCGTGTTACAAAATTCTAATTTGTAGTGTGATTTACATGACAAGATAATTGGTAGCGGCGAGTAAAAAAATCGCCTCACGTTGCCATGAAAGGAAAGTCGCCACATGCAGCGGCGTGGGAGGAGAGACGGCAGTAGTTGCCGGCCGTATGTCCACTTTGTTGCTACCTTCATTGTCTGCCTTACACTTATACCACTGCCACGCAAGTAAACAAGATGCAAGGTTGTGGCACTACAAACTAGGTCACATTAACTTTAAAGATCTGACTACTCTCTCAAATTCAGGAACTGTCTGATGATTTCCTAAGATCAAGAGATTGGAAGATGAGGTAACTCAACTCGCCATTGCAAGCCATGATATGCCACAATCTTCTCACGATTATTTTGATTGGTTGAAAAATATCATATCACCACGTGATTCTTGGGAGTTTTTGCAGTATTTTAAAACTGCTAATTATTAGGTTACACCATATATGATTATTCCTTGGTGGGTCAAAGGGGAAAATATGTTTCCACAGCTCATGATATATATTCGATGTTGGGCTAGGGAGAAACATTCCGTACGTACTAAGATGGTGTTGGCATGTGGTGGACATATCCCATATAGTGCAAAAACTAATGTTTGTTGGTTCTTTTAATTACCACAAAATTTAACTTTTTTGATTGAGTTGGTTTTTGACCTACCATATTTAAAAGTCGTGAGTTCAAATGTTACCGTCATTCACATTTTTAAAAAAACAAAATTAAAATTCACGCGTAAAATTTTATTGTTTTTTTATAAAAAAACTTAATGTTCGCGTGTAAAATTGTATAACCCAACAGCAAGCCAGCCACTCTGTGTGTGTGAGATTGACAGCAAATGTGCATGAACCGTCCTCCGATTTGGGGGCAAAATATGTCCAGCTGGTCAAATATATGACATGGGGGGAAGTTGCATGCATTGTACTACGTACGTGAGTAGGATGATTATAATTCCAAGTTGGCAATATATATCATTATATATATGGATTTGATGATTATATATGTTAGTTTGCCCAAGCTAGCTAGTTTATAAGGACACTCGTGCATTTGTCTCAAACCATGGCAAACTGGATTATTGCAACAATTTTGTGTGTCACCAAATCTCACGTGCTCACATGTATTACGGATCGGAGTAGTATTTTATTATTTAATTACTATGTATATGATCACATATATTCCAATATATACTCTATGATATTTATGAAGATTTTATTCCCAGCCTAGCTAGCTTTTGGATTCATTCCACGTTTTGCAAATTGATCCATTATTGATTGTGGCTTATATATGTTTATATAGGAAATCTTATCCAAACTCGTTTTAATTTCACCATAATTTGAAGTGTGTTTGCGGTTGTATTTGAAAACTTTATCTAAGCTTCTCTTTCGTTGAAATATACATCCCATGTGACTTCAAAAATTCAAAATAGACTCAGGCCAAAAGTACTTTTAAGCGAAGGTAGTTGAGACTCTTTGTTTTTCGCTTCTACATATAACTTTTATGTTTCACACAAATCTACGACACACAACCAAAATATATACCTCGAGAATACTTTATCATATACCTGCCGGAGGTGTGAAGCATGTCATGAGGGTGGCAGGGGAGAGATTTTACGCCTTCAAGACATATTTACGACGAGCGTATTTGACTCCTGGCGAGGATCATCCTGGAGCCAGCGCCGTTGATGATTATAAATACATTCTGGAGGGGCATTGGGAGGACTTCAAGACCTAGAGTGAGACTCAAGAAGCTAAGGTAAAAAAATATTATTCTTTGAAATAATTTAATCCATAATTGAAGTTATTTTGGACGAGAGTTTTTAACAATTATTTTAGTATTTTTAAAGCAATTGTTCATGAAACTCAAAGTTACTAGCTGTTTCTTAAGCAATGACAAACCCATGAATGAAATTAAAGATCAAGAACATTATTATGTAGAACAATTTGCATTAAATAGGACTAAAACATAAGTTGTTTTTCAATGTGGGACATAAATCTTTTTTTCCTAAATAGTACTTAATAATTTCTTGTGAGAAAAATAATGTCCAATTATGATGGACATTTACTTGAATTATGACTAATGGATAATGACCAATGATACTACATTGGAAAATAAAAATATAAGGTCCTATATTAAAAAATTCATTATGTTTTAGTCCTATTTAGGTAAAATCCCTTATTATGTACGTGAGTAAGCTAGTATTCGGTGACAAGAATAAAAATAAAAAATAAAACTTTATTTTATTTTGAAATAGAAATAAAAAGAGTAAATTCCATAAAAGATCCTCAGTTATAGGTTATTTTACATATTTAGTCCCTACATATCAAATATTACCAATTTAGTCCTCAATTATTATATCATTTTTCACGAATGGTCCTTTGTTAACGTTTTTGTTAAGAACATGGATAAAATTGTATATTCATACTTCTCTCTCTCCTCAATTAAGTTTCCTCCCTTCTCTCGTACTCTTTCCCAAACTCGTCGCTAAGTTTGAAGCTCTAAACGCAAAACTGAAATAATCATTCCTCTACCAATTATTAGTCTTCCTGGTGGAACCTAAAATCAATACCAATAAGCTTTATGGATGGGTTTTTTTGGTTAGTCTCAATAAATTACAAAGAAAATAAACATTAAAACTTATCCATGAAGGTTACGGTTTTCGAATTTGGGTTCCACCAGTTAGACAAACAATTGAGAGAAGAGTGATGGTTTCGGTTTTGGGTTCAATAGAGGAGAGAAAGGAGTGTGAATTTATAATTTTATCCATGTTCTTAACGGAAATGTTAACAAAGGACCATTCGTAAAAAAATAATGAATATAATAATTAGGGACTAAATTAGTAATATTTGATATGTAGTGACTAAATATGTAAAACAACTTATAACTGGAGACCTTTTATTGAATTTACTCAAATAAAAAATAAAACATATATATATATATATATATATATATATATATATATATATATATATATATATATATATATATAAGTATTACATCAAAAATTCAACAAAACAAGTGGTAACAAGCAAGGCCGACCCCAAAAAAATAAAAAAATAAAATTAGTCCAGTCCAAAATTTACATTTTGGGTCTTAATATTTTTTTAGAATACTTATGCTTTAAAATTATTAACAAATTTAAAAATATAGGGCCCTAAAATTTTAGGAGTTTTGTGCGGTTGACCACTTTGCACATCTTCTGGGCCACCAATGGTAACAAGAATATTTTATTTTATCATAGAGGCCATGAAAAAACACAAATAAATAAAAGCTCGGGTGAAATTGGAATAGTACTCTGTGAAAAAAAATATGGAGTGGAGGGAGTATGAAAACAAATAGCATGTCCATTGTCTCATACTACTTCTGTCCCAGAGTATTTGTCCACTTTCATTTTTACACACCATACAATGCACTTCTTTAATTCACTTTATCTTGTAATTTGTATATTAAAAAATTATAGAAATTATATATTAATAATCTATATGTTAAGACAAATCAAACAAGATCACACATGACTATATTTAGGCTTACACATTGAGAGAATTTGATGAGTCAAAGTTCTTAAATGAACAGTTCCAAAAGTCAAAACTGGACAAATATAACGGGACGGAGGGAGTAGATTAGATGAGATTCAAATGGCATACATTGAACTTTTTGTGCTCACATAAAGGCTAACATTAGGTGAGAATTGAAGAAAGGGAGATTAAAGTAAAGATATATGGTGAAAGAACAAGTGCACGTGAGAGAAAGTGAGAGTGGAGTGGGCATATATTTATGAATATACAAAAATATATACTCGTAATTATATTCGTACATGGCAAAAAGACAAAGTGACATGAATAAATTGTTACACATTCAATTCAATTCTTCCCATAAATTATTGTCTGCAGAGAGCGCATATAATAATATGATTCTGTACGCATATACTCCGTATATAATATGGAGTGGATACATATATACATCGATTATGTGAATGAAGTAATACATGCCCACATTATTATATATTCCATCCACAATGCAGCTTATTCAAGTAAAGTCGGCATGATCCAACTAAGTTTGATATATATAGTTATATACAACTTCTGTTCTAGCATATTCGTCTATTTTGACTTTTTCGAATAAAACTGAATAAATCTTGAACCTTAATTAAGTAAAAAACTACTCCGTATAATTTATATTAGTATAAAAATGATTTTTAAATACTTCGCATTTAACTTGTTTAGAACTTTCAGGCCCCGTTTGGTACACGGAATTCAAACCATGGAATTGGAATTGAGGACTTCAATTCCAATTTTCATGTTTGGTAGCACAAAAATTATATGGATTTGGAGTTGGTAGTGCAAAAAATGAATTGGAATTGGTGAATTCAATTCTATGGAATTGAATCCCATAAAATTTTAATTCCAATTCAATTTCAATTCCATCAATTCCTTGTACCAAACGGACCCTCAAAAATTTATTCCATTATACGGAGTATCAATTTGCAATACAAATTGAGAGTAGTTGGTAATTAAAATTTGTCTAATTTAACTCGAAATGTCAAACTGGACAAACACTTTGAGACAGGAGTAATAAATTAAATTAGATGATACGAAAGACCGAAACAGAGAATTGAAGCATGTATAGGCCCTTTTCATTCCGGTTGTAAATGAAATATCTTGGAACACAGCGGGTTGTCACGGAATTTGTCACAGACTAATTGTAGTTATAAATTTTCCTGACAAAGTTATTTCTAACGAAAGTTTTTTCACGGACATATTATGTGTGGGATAAGGCTTGACAAATTATTTGTAAAGGATTTAAGAGCAGTGACAAAAATTGTCACAGAATTGTTATGTCACAGGCCGTGACACCAGTAATGTCGGTCCTACTAATCCTTTTGTTTTTTTGTCACAGGGTTGATCTGTGACAAAAGTTTTTTCACAGATAAACGTTTAATTTTGACAGAATCCTTGCATCTTCCTTTTTCGCGGACTTGATTTAAAAAAAAATTGCGATTGCGATTATATTTTTAAATTGCAACATATTGATTATATTTAATCAATGGGGAACAAATAATAAATATCTTAAAAATGCATCCAAACAATAAAATTTTAAACCCAGAATCCAGATCAATAACACTAAAATCATAATTAAAATCTTGATAGAACATCCCAACATAATTACATAGGAGTATTAGTTTATATCACGGCATATAATTTAAAAAAATTAATTTACACCTATCAGCTTTCATCACCAAGGCCAGTATTCGCCTCCAAAATCATTGATGCAATGTTTTTAAAAATTCAGGAAACATTAATGCAATTTTTAAAGTTTAATCAAACAACTTAATTAAAAATAGTAAAATATAATAATTAAAGTAATTAAATCAAATAATTTAATTAACCTATTGGTACACCCCTAGGTTAATTCTATATTTAATTACCTTCGATCGTTATTGAATTTACAGAATTTACTCCAACAAAACTCAAAATAAATTACCAACATGTAATTTTGAAAACAGGCAGTAAATTTCAAATGTATGATAATACGACTTTTTTTTTGTTGAGCCAAGCACAAATAAATCTTCATTCCAAAACAACGATATAGTCTACAGACTAATGACCATACAAACAAACACATGATGATACGACTTTGACTTAAATGACTTTTAAAAAAACCTACACAGAAAGTAATCTAATACTGTGTGTTTTTTTTCCACATCGTATATATGGCAATATACGGAGTCTATATATACGTATATATATAATGATGAAGCTTCGTCTTTGCGGTCGTCGTCGTCAATTACAAACAGTGGCGTTAAATAAAATACAAAGCAACAATTTGACTAATTAACCCAAATTTTCGTATCTATCTTATGATATGTCATACATTAAAAAAAATCGTATCCATCAGCGGATCAAAATCGGTTGACTGTTTGGAACAATATGGTTATGTGGTCATTCGTGTTAAAGCAACGAATGAATGTCGGTTTTTTTTTCCACTGCGGTAATTAATTTTAACAGTCTTCCTCGAAAAAAATATAATACAGCAATTAATTTAACGGAGAAGGATAACTAATTTAAAGGAAATGTGTTTTTTATTTAAATTTAGAGGAGAAATATTTAATTAGGTAGTGGAAATGAAATTTATGGGTGTGGTTGTGTTGTACGATTGGTTGGATCGACTTCAACCGCTGCTGCTGCCACTAATGACACTCTCTTAATGTTCATTAAGAGGGGAGCACAAAAAACTTAGCCGTAGCAAGACCAAAAGTTTTGGGGAAAAAAATTAGAATAAGAATAAAATATAGAAAAAATATTAAAATAAAGACCGCGATTCTTTAGATTTTGGTTTTCAAGGTCATATTCTGAACTGCGGCCTCTACGATTATCTGTTGACAAAATTGATGATTTTTAACTCCTAAACCTCTCCTGCACCCTCTAGATCGCTGATTTGGCACTGCCAAATCAGTTATCTGGGAGACAGGGGTGAAGGGGAGAGCGCACTGCCAAATCAGTTATACATGATGTTGGTGATTTTGTGGTTTGTGATACTTAAAAATATGAATGAAATGACAATGCCGGATTGACTAGTACATGAGTAGTATCCGTGAGTGCACTTCCCCTCTAACATCAGAGTATATTATTAGAAATAAAGAGTAAAAAAGTATAGATCTCTCAAATTTTTTCTAGAACCTGCAAATTACGGATGAATCACAATAAATTTCTCCATTTTAATTAAAATATGGTATTCTATGACACAAAAGTCACAAAAGTGATGATTTTACCATAAGGATACAAAGATTAAAGCTCTCTTCGGTTGATTTGAAAGATATGGTTTTCAATTTTTTCTAATTTCTTCTAATTTTTTCTAACTTCATATAAATTTTTTCAATGTATGTCTTCTAGTTTCTTTCAAAACGACTTGAAAAATATATTTAACATATAACGATTATATACTGAAATCTATAATATAATATCTCAAATACGGAAAATGATGATTTCTTAGTTATATCCAAAATTAGTTTTCTTAGATATTTATTTGAGTGATAATTTAATTTAATTAAATTATTTTTAACACTTTATTTTTTCTAACTTGTTACATGTTTTTCCAACTTTTTTCAAACGGAAAAATACAAAGTCGGTTGGCATGGAGATAAAAGAAGAGATATGGAATATCCAAACTAGAAGCCAAAATGGATGATTTGAAATCACTCCGGATTAGATCGTCCACTTCATTTACTTTTTAACGTAAATATTTCAACTTTCTTTTTACTTTTTTCCCCTCCACTCTCGGAATTGAATAATTCAAAGGAAATTCATATGACATACTCTCTCTCCATCCTATAATGATGTCACCTTTCAACACAAACAAATGGGTAAAATTTTAATTATTTTAATTGCAAATTAATACAGAAATAAAAAATAAAAATTTCAGCGTTCAAAAGTATACAAAGAATTCTACAAAAAAATATGACAAGAATATTTTATTTTAACAAATAATTAATGAAAATATATAAACAAATAAAAGTTATCGAGATATGGTAATAGTAAACTTAAACTATGGACTACGTATTAAGATATTCAAACTTTAGATTCAATTAGATTGACAAATTACAAATATCTTGAAACATCATTTTCAATTAGCATTTTAGATGATTTTCTAATAGTGTAGATGACTTTTTAAAATGTTAAACACTAGATGTAGATGAGGTAGCATTTGTTTCGATCTCTTTCTATTGTTGGAATCACAAATCATGCACGGTGCATCTGTCTAAGATTGAGCAACTGATTTTATTTGTTCTCCATAAGTAACCAATTTTTTTTTCTTAATTTCTCTAGGATTAATTGCTAATTTTGAAATGACCAATTAAGAGAATCAAAATGATTCAAAAGAAGAATCTAACAAAGTCAAAATGATGGAGCCTTAAGACCCTCACTCATTCAAACTCCAAAATTCAGTCTGCTTTGATTTTTCAATCTCAAATGGGATTCAATCACCATATGCTGGAAAGCTTATATTAGTATATATTCTGTATGTATATATATAAATATAAATGAAGGTGAGAAATGAGGAAGAAAAGGGAAAGAAAATAAAGGAAAATGTTGATTATATCAGATATAATAACACTTTGGGCAATACAATAGAGTACAAAATTGTTGATATGATTTGTATTGGGTATAACTTAAGCTCTCTGCTCTTTCTCTGCAAATAACTCATACTATTACAGCTAGATCATCATCCTCTTTATTAAATTGAACAACAAAAAAAAAACAAAAAGAGAGAGAGTATGGTATGGTTATAATTAATTTGTATGTATGCCTTAAATACCCTTGAATTGCTATACATGAATACAGACACATATACTATATAGTAGTATCGGGCTGCTGTTACTGTTCCGGCGCGGCGGCGGCGGCCTATATATATTTGTGTGTATATGAAGTAAATAAGAAGAAGAAGAATCAGTCTTGCCAACAGAGGAGCATGACAACACATCTCTTGATGATGTAGAGCTTGGCTCTCTGTTCTCTCAGAACACTTCCCAATCCTCTGCTGCTTCTGCTGCTTCTTCTTCTTTTGTTGTTTTTGATGTTGTTGTTGTTGTTGTTGCTGCTGGTGTTGATTGTTGTTGTCATCATCATCTTCATTGTCTTTCTTTTGATGATCAAATTGTATGTATGTATTTGATTTCTTTGGGATGCTTGCTTTGAGGTTGATCAATATATATATATATATGATGAGAAAGCTATGGAATGGAATGGAATGGAATGAAATGAAATGGGGGAGACTAGCTAGCTATATATAACAATAATGGTTTGTGTACAGTTTAATTAATTAAATAATTAATTAATTAATTTGGGGGTAATTAATTAAGAGAGAGGGACAAGTAATGTGCATAAGAAATGAAAGGGAGTGCTGTGGTGTGCCCCCTTTACCCCTACGGACCCCAATCCTCTTTTGGGAAGGGATTGTTCCATACCCTCCAGCCCCCCCCTTTATCAGACCCCACTTCTACCTCCCTCCTCGGACCCACCCCCACTCTTTTTTATACTCCGTATATAATACTCCCTCCCTCCGTCTATCGACTTTATTTTTAATTCAATTTAATTGATTATAGAAGTAAAATTTTAAAATAAAATTTATATAGTAATAAACTAAATGAAAAGTTCTACAAAACTAGAGGTGACAAGACTATATTACTTTATAAAATAACTAGTAAAAATAAGCAAATAAAGTAAGTAAAGTTTGACTCTGTGAATAGTGTACGGGAAGATCTATGGTGGACAGGGAGTATTATTTTCCCTTTCTTTCTTTCTTTTTTATTTCATTTCATATTTTCATTTAGTATATATATTATTGTCGTTTAATTTGGACTATTCTTTTATTTCATTACGGAATGAGTCACACATTGCAAATGATAAACATTTTATTAATATATTTGAATTAAGCCTCACACCCATCCAAATTGAATTAAGCTACTCCATGTGCTGCTCTTTCTTTCTTTTCATTATTTTTATTATTATAAACAAAGACAATTTTTTAGAAAAAAAAAATATAGCCCTGATGAGTATTATATATTGATTAGATAAAATAAAATTTTTGAAAATATTTCATATAACAAATCTAATAAGATTATTTTTGTATCAATGTTTAATATCATTTTAATTTAATTTGATGTCAAAATTCACCAATTTTGATCGAAAAAATTAAAAGTAGACAAATACTCAAGGACGGAAAGAGTAGTAAAACAAATGAATCTTATTTTAAAAAAGGGCATTAATTTCCTAAAATTAAATTTGGTAAAGTGTGGCTAGCTTGCCTATATATTGATTGATCCAAATCATCCAATGAAGCTTATAAAAGGTTGAGTCCAAATTTTAAGTAGAGAGACATTCTATAATATTTTCGGTCTCGTCGGTGGGCGTTGCACAGATGCCAAGGCAAGGGGTACCAAGAGGGTAAGATTCGAGTTTGATTTCTGGCAACTGCGCTAGAGGGCAACTATGCCAAGCATAGGGTCTCTGCAAGTACCAAGTACATGCTCCTCTCTTTGCTACCAATCTATGATTAAAGTCTATATACCTCCTCAGTGACTGTCCGGCTATGTCTGAGGAGACCTTTGAAGATGAGATGTTAGATAAATATGGAAATAGTTCTAGTTATAGAAGGATTATTATTATAGTTAATTACCATACTTGGAGAATCCTAATTGATGTAGGAATCTCCATCTATATAAACTACCTTGTACACAATTATTTCCTTGAGTTGAAATCATAATTCAATATGGTATCGGAGCCTATTGATCCGTCTCTTCCTTCTCGATAAAAAAAAAAAATCGGCCCAGCCGATCGGCTACCGCCGCCGATCTCCGCCGATCTTCCCCACGCCGCCGATCTCCACCGATCGGCCATGGCTGCTCAAACTTCTGATCCCATGGATCGACTGCCTACGGGCTTGAAATTATTTGTTCGGAATCTTCAATCTCTAACTCCGGTCAAACTAGATGATACAAATTATCCCTCTTGGTCTGCTACGGTTCGCGCAAACCTCGTCGCTCATCGTCTCCTCGGCTATGTTGATGGTTCAGAAGTGCCTCCTTCACCCCTTATTTTGGACGAGAAAGCTGCTGCCCCTGGCAAGGATGCACCGCCAGTTATGAAATCCAATCCTGCTTATGACTCATGGGTTCTTGTTGATGCTCAAATCAGGGCCTGTCTTCTCGCTATTGTTTCTCTAACTGTTCAGACTCATATTCATGCTCTTCCATCCTCTGCTGCAATTTGGAATCACCTCGAACAACGGTACAATTCTCTTTCACGTACTCATATTTTTCAATTGAAGGAGCGTCTACATAGCATTCAAAAGGGCACTGATTCCATGCAAACATACCTGGACACTGTTCTCACTATTGTCTCATCTCTGAAATTGGCTCATGAGGACATCTCTGAACAAGATATTATCCTGTGTGTGCTTCGAGGCCTCCCTACGGATTATGCCTCGCTCAAACAAAATATTCGTACCAATATTGCAACCGTCACTTTCAATCAAGTATCTGCGTGGTTGCTCTCGGAAGAATTAAATCTCACTTTTGAGAAGAAACTGCACCTTGGTGACTCTGGTTCTCCCTCGTCAACAGATCTTCACCATGCATTATTCACCAATTCAGGACGAGGTACTGGCCGGGGTCGTGGCCGTGGGCCATATCGTGGCCG